TGCTCTTCCGATCTGGCGTCTGCTGGGCTGGGAAGGGGGATGCTGGGTTGAGTCGGTGAAAGAGGGAAAGAAAGGGATGGGCTCTTTGTGGGAAGGGGAGGGAGACAAGGAAATCTGAAGAGAATGCCAGATCATGTGCGGTAGGTCGTTAGGGTGTTGTATTCGGTGGTGTAGATGTCCATTTATTGCCTCAGTATCCTGGGTCTTCGCGGTGCTTATGGCTGCAGCTGGCAGATATATAAGTGTATACAGATGGTTTCGCGAGGGGTTGCTGGGTATAAGGTCCTAGGGAATCGATCCATACATGGTTCATGATTCAAAGAGAGAGAGAGAGAGAGAGAGAGAGAGAAGGGCATAGAGATCAGGTCAATCAGGACACGCTTCTTTTGATACCACTCTTTTCCCATCAGAGCAAAGATTTTGCCCAGGTCACCTGCGAGATACTCTCGAGTCTGGTGTAGCAGGTACATCAACCCCGAGAGTCTATCCAATCGACCATCGGCTCGAACACGCATCTCAGCAAGACTGTGGATCCAGGATACGCCATTGCCAAGGCGTGCCAGTCGTTGAAAGAAGGGATGTGATTTGAAACGGCTGATCGTGGTAGCGGCTTTCTCAAACATCCACCATGGCAACCACACCGTTCCACATCCAATCCAAATCGTGTTTTAGCCCTTCCGAGCGGCCACAATCTCCTATACGATCCAGACACGCCGCCACCACGAACGTTCCATCAACCGCTGGAAGGCAACCTATTCCCGAGGATCAGGTGGGTCTAGATGTTCGCCGTCGGAAGATCCGTGGAGCTTAAGTAATGATTTCAAAGGGTCGAGGTGGTCTTGAGAGCCAAAAAGGAGACCAGGCGACGTGATGGGCTTTGCTAGACTTAATGCTGGATCAAGGAGACTTACGGCGGTCATGGCTAGGCCACTGTCGTCCATGGCTTCTCCGAGCCAAAACGATGACCTTGGATGCCTTTGCATAGATAGACCACATCACCCGAGTCTGGCTGCTCCGTTCCTGGATATTGTCTTGATTTATACCCAGAGCGTCGATCTATAGTCTTCGATGGGTTAAGATCTCGGCATCCCTCGTCAAGCCATTTCTTTGCTTCAGATGTCGGAGAGCGATATGATGGTTGTGGGGAACCTTGACCTCGATGTCTCTCCTTGTGTTGGTGTCATCGAGAGTAATGGCTGAAGTTCTCTCAGGACTACCCCACGCATAGGAAAGGGCTTCATAAGATGTTACTTCTTCAAGAGACACTGTAATTAAACTGAATCAAATGTCTTCGCTATCTCCATCAAAGGAAAGGTCGAGCAGCCGAATTTCCTAGAGAGGCAACATTGAGCGAATTGTACTTGAGTTTTTCCAGAGCTCTTCACATCTTGTGTCTGCCTATGAGACATTGACTATCTCAAAGCCGCAGCTGTTTGGTAACACGAATCGCGAAGAATGAGAGACGACGAGGCCGGGAAGGGCAACAATTCAGCAGAGACCGATATCGGTATATTTGACCCCCTCCACCCATGACGGAGATGGCTACGCTAAGCAATTGACTTAGTTGGAGCTGGCAGTCATCCGGTTCCATGAAGGTGTGGCTCGAGGTGTAAGACTAACTAAATACCGTGAGCTTGTGGGGAAGTGACAGGGTCGAGTCCCCCAGGTCATGCTGCAACAGTCCCAAGCTTTCTAACACATCCTTCGGGGGCTTACAACTACACCCTCTTATTCAATTACATCATTATTGGTGAGGCCGGGGAGGATGATGGTGTTCTCAGACTGCCAGGTTGTTAACTGATTGTGCTGTTGTAGTAGTTGTTGTTATTGTCGTCAACCATTGGTTTCAGGCCAGACCAATCAATCGAAATGGCCAAACTCTCCAATCCTCTAGCTTTCACGCCCGGACCTGTTACATTCTTCACCTCCATCGCATACGCAGCGCTCATAATCGCTCTTATCATTACCCATAATACTGTCCCACCAGCACCACAAAGTCCTACGCCGATCAACGGAGTCAATCTTACTGAAGCATGGCAAGATTTGCAAGTACTCACTCCGACGTATCATCCCTACAACAGTCGTAGCAACGATCAAGTGAGAAATTGGCTGCTGAGGAGGGTGAACAATATACTGAAGGACAACAACGTCACCGATAGTCGAGACGCGGGAGTGAGATCGCGTCACTACCCTAATCGAACAGGCTCTGCAACCAAGCCTGCGGCGTACATTTTCGACGACGATGTGTCAAATCTGACATTTTCATCCGCGGGAAGTACCACCTCGACAGCTGGTGTGAGCGTCTATTTCGAGGGCACAAACATCATTGTGTATATCAGAGGCTCGCAAGACGATGACACAGAATGGTGGAATGACCCAAAGGGCAGACCCAATGGCAAAGGGGGCGTGCTCGTCAATGCACACTACGATAGTGTATCGACTGGCTTCGGTGCTACTGACGACGGTGTTGGTGTGGTAACTATTCTTCAGTTAATCAATCACTACACCACGACTGGCAACACACCCAAGAGAGGACTTGTGGCACTTCTCAACAATGGCGAGGAAGATTTCTTGAATGGTGCTCGAGCCTTCAGTCAAAATCCTATGGCCAAGTTCCCGCACTCGTTCCTGAATTTGGAAGGCGCTGGGGCTGGAGGCAGGGCAACGCTGTTCAGGAGTACTGACGTAGAAGTTACAAGTGCCTACCGCAACTCGCCGTATCCTTTTGGCTCCGTCATCTCTGGTGATGGCTTCGCAAAGGGGCTCATCAGAAGCCAGACTGATTACGTTGTCTTCAATGGCATCCTTGGTCTTCGCGGCCTTGACGTTGCTTTTATGGAACCACGAGCAAGGTATCATACTGACGAGGATGATACAAGGCACACCAGTCGAAAGTCACTTTGGCATATGCTCTCATCGGCGCTGGCGACCACGCAAGCCCTTACCTCTGATTCAACCTTGATTTTCGAGGGCAAATCGACAGCGAAGGGTGGTGTGGAAGCTGGCCACGGTCACCATGGGGTCTGGTTTGACCTTTTTGGACGCGCGTTCGCCCTGTTCCGGCTACATACCCTCTTCTCATTGTCTGTGACATTACTCGTTATCGGTCCCGTCTTCTTGGGTAGTACTTTGGTTATACTCTATCAGCTCGACAAGCTATACTTGTTTTCGGGTTCGAGGCTCTACCACGTGAGTGATGGCGATGAACGGATACCTCTGTACGGCTGGCGAGGCTTCTTCCGCTTCCCACTTCTTTTTGTGATCGCAGCTGCGGCGCCCGTGGCTTTGGTATTCTTGGTCTTCAAATTGAACCCATTCATTGCCCACAGCAGTGAATGGTCTGTTTGGAGTATGATGTTCTCATCCTGGTTTTTCACGGCCTGGTTCTTGTGCTGCTTCGCCGACTGGGCTAGGCCTTCTGCTCTTACTCGAACCTACGCTCTCACCTGGCTGTGGACTCTCTCCTGGGCTATGCTGGTGGCCGATACTGTCTTCCAGACGCATTTGAAGCTTGCTGGGGGTTACCCTGTTCTCTTCTACTCTATGTCTTTGTTCCTGGCTACATGGATCTCTTATCTGGAGCTCTTTTCCTTGCCGACTAAGGCGAAATACTGTCGTAGAAAAATGGAGTCTCCAAGAAGAGACAGCATTTCCAGCACACAGCTACCTGGCTCTGGCTCTCAAGAAGCGCCTGCAGCGCCTCCAGATGATCAGCGTGGCGAGGATGAGCAGGCTGATGAGAGAACTAGTCTGCTGAAAAAGGACAAGCGAACAACTTTTGCCAACTATACCCACAATGAGACTGATGAGAATGAAGTAGCAGTGGTCGACGAAGACAACGCCTCAGAGAAGAAAGATAGCTACGTTTATGGGGACGAACAAGACTGGAGTGAATATTTGCCCCGATGGACATGGTTGCTTCAACTCATTCTGATCGTACCAATCAACGTCATTCTTCTCGGCCAGATCAGCTTACTTCTAGTATCGGCACTTCATCAAACAGGTTCTGATGGAAGTTCGATGTTCCTGGTCTACATCGCCATGGCCGTCTTCTCTATCCTCATGCTCTCGCCTACTCTGCCATATCTACATCGATTCACATGGCAAATCCCGATATTTATGCTTCTGGTTCTGGTTGGCACCCTGATTTACAATCTCCTGGCTTTCCCATTCTCGGAGAACAATCGATTGAAACTTTTCTTCCAGCAGGAGATTGATCTCGACCTAGGGAACAACACCGTGTCTCTCATTGGGCTGCCTTGGTATGTGCAAGAGGCCGTTGACTCGTTGCCAAGCTCAAGCGGACAATCACTTCAGTGCGAATCTGCTGTTCCAGGAAATAGACTGAAATGTTCATGGATTGGACTACCACCCAGGGTTGTGCATACTCACCCACAATTACCGCTGGCGAAACAAGTCAGGACATGGGTCAACTACAATGTGACGCGTGTATCGAGCAAGAATTCGGCTCGCTTCACTGTCATGGGTCGTGAATCACGTGCTTGCAAATTGACTTTCGACTCTCCGATCCATAACTTTATGGTTCATGGAAGCGCGCCCACTGACAGGCGCTTTCCAATTGTGCCTGAAGGTGGCAGTAAAGAGATCCGTCTCTGGAGTCGGACATGGAACCGAGCATGGGTTGTTGATGTAGAATGGGAGGGTCCGGCCGATCAGGAGAGCGAAATCGTGGATCTGGAGGGCAAAGTGGTGTGTCTGTGGAGCGACGATAACAGGGAAGGCGTCATCCCAGCCCTGGATGAGGTCAGACACTTTGCTCCTGGCTGGGTTGCTGTAACAAAAGCTGGAGATGGTTTGGTCGAAGGATATAAGAAGTTCAAGATCTGATTGGCTGCCGCATGCATGGTCTCGAATCAGCATGGCGTTTTGAGGGAGTATCCTTTGGCATAGAGGCATTATCATCATCCCAGTTTTTGAAGGCGGGTGCATCGCGGGTGCATCGCGGGTGAACGGCTTGCCTGAAGATGCATCTGTAGCGTCGATATGCCGCTCAGATACCTGCTATCTATGTAGTACCTGAAAAGTTCATCTCCGATCGCCTGCTGCCGCACATGGCCAGACTACATAAGACGACCAGAAGGAGCAGTAACCCGCTGTCAGTTTGTGTGTCTGTGCAGGACCCGGGACCGATGATACTATAGGTAGTAGTGCTTGCATGGCAGGGGAAATGGATAACTACTCTAGTAGGGGGTTGCAGAGTAAGTAGGGGCTGAAGAGCAGGACTCTAGGCGGGGAAAGGCGGAAGCTTGGCCTTGTGGAGCAGAAGATGCAGTCAACAAATCGGAAGCTGAATACCCAGCACCACTTTTGTTCTGTTTCGTCGACGTGCAGGTCCTGCAACTCGTTACCGTCGTGGAGATAGCATGTCGGCATGCGTTTCACGCCCGTCACGCTCGTCACGCTCTCACGCTCAGCTGCAATGTCTGCGTTTCTCCTCTCTTGCAGTGGAGTGCTGATCCATACACGGCCTTGCACGTGGAGAAAGGTTGGTCTATCTACGTAGTATGGCACCATTTTGCGTGCTTTGCAGAACATGATCCATGTTCTGCCCCACAGCTTCGAGTCATGTCGCAGAATTCTTTGCTTTTCGAATTACGGCATTTCAGGCACTTATGGGGTGAGTTGCTTGACGGAGCGACAGTGGTAGAAGAAGGGCTTGAAGCGGTCGTTTCTTCTTTCCAACCTTCCTTTTCCATTCCAATTGCTACCGTCTACGAGTACCACCTATCTTCTACTGCAGTTCTTTGTTCTTTGGTCTTCCTACAGTATTCTCAATCATGTCTACTCAGACTCCTCACTCTCCATCAACGTCATCAACCTCCACTCCTTTCTCCTCCCCAGGTCCATCCCCTTTCGTCCCTTCAGTACGAACAAAACAGCCTATCCACAAGACTCCGTCCTCTTCCTCTTCTTCGTCGTCTTCTTCGTCTTCCTCGTCCAGCAGGAGTGCTACCAGTACTTCTTCACCTTTCCATCCCGGAAAAGCATACTCAGACCCCACTCCTAGATCTATCTACGCACCAAGCCCAACATCCTACCCATCCAACGATCCGGTTACTCAAGATTTCGATTTTGATGACCTCTTCACATTTGCCCCTCACTCTCATCCCACCATACCACCGACTCATCCATTATCATCGCGACAAGCATCTTCCCGGCCTAGCCCTCCAAATACAAAGGCTGAGAACGCGACCAATCTCACATCTCAGCCTCAACCCGAGCTGAGGAATTGGTCGAAATTCTCCTTCTCGCACTATAACAACAATAAGAGCGTGTCGGTACCGCGTTCCGGTAAGAGTACGGGCACTGTAAAGCCGCGGCGTTAATACAGTCGACATCCGATCGTCATGGCTGCAATGGCTGCAATGGCAGGGTCCAGAAGCCGGACACTTCGTGAATACGAGGAGCTTTATTGAAGCAGCAACTAGGAGCATGAAGCCGAAGTCACGGTGGTAATCACTAACTAGACCATCACTCACTTGCCGAATAGTCTCAACTTATCTTATCTTCGTGGAGGTTGTACCAATTACTTGCCAAACTTACCTCTAATACATTACCCATCCATTCCATTCAGGCACGGCACGGTCGAAGCAGAAAGCTTCGTCCCAAGCTTCTCTCCAACTCAATATTTCGACCCAAAATCATGTCAACCTCGCTGCCTCGTCAAAGACAATGTAAGAACAAAGCACGAAGCAGATTTACATTCAACGTTCTACCTACCACAACCATGTAGATACCACCACCATCACAATCATCATCACTACCTCGTCTCCCCAACAGCCCTCCTTCGCATCCATCCTCAGTGAAAGCAAGTCGAAGCATCAACATCTCAAGCACACCTTTTCATTAGCAAACATTATATCCCTTTTCCAGCCCTCAAATCAGTCCCCCGAACGCCACGTCATGAAAACGATAATGAAGAAGGACCTAGCCGACCCGAACTCTCCTTGGTAGATCAAAAGAAAGTGTCTCAACCTCGTCCGAAATTTATTGAAGGATCCTTCCTTGAGCAAAGTTGATATCAACAGAGCATACGACATCGATGAGCTTGGCTGGGTTGGATCGGTTGGCATGAAACCCCTGAAACGAAACGATCTCAAGCGTGCAGAAGAAGAAGTAGCAAAAGAAGGACGACAAGGATAGAAAGAGCAAAATAACTTGTTTTTCTTGGGAAACCCCCCCAAAGAGTGATAGAGATAGAAAGGGATATATATGTTCCATTACACAGGCATTGCCTGCCTCAATATCGTATCAGCAACACAGAATGTACCGGTCAGAATAAACGTGACTTACCCATAGAAACATCCTCGCAATGATAATATTTAATCTCTTACATAACGCAACCAGCGCATCGAAGATACATGTACATACATATTTATGGATAGTTTATCTGCATCTTGTCTCAATCTTCATGGATGTCCCTTCCGCTCTCAAAAGGAAACGCGTGAAAGGCGCCATGAGAGTGTATGCAAGCCAAACTACCGTAATCGTAAAATTGAATGAACCAACGTTGATAACGCTGGTTAAGGCATTTCTCTAACAATCTGCCTACGTGCAGAGTGGAGATAGATATATGTATGTATATATATGTGAGTGACGAATCAGCCCTTCTTCTTTTCCCCTTCGTCCAGATCTCGCCTTGACTCGGTAAAGAGAAATAGAGAGAGAGAGAGAGAGAAATAGAGAGAGAGAGAAATAGAGAGAGAGAGGAATAGAGAGAGAGAGAGAAATAGAGAGAGAGCCTTGACCTATCTGTATAACTCACTCACCCCACCCTCTCCGTCCGTGGAATAGCACAACGGGTTTCTCATCGTCCATCTTCTCTAAATCGGCGTTTCGTTACCAAGAAAAGAAAAAAAGAGGCCTACCTTTCACATGTGCGTATACATATATAGGTATGTTTCAGACCCGCCTACCCAACAAAATACAACAGCACAGGAGATGGGTGCATAAGTAAAGAACTTAAAAGTACAGTGTCCTAGTTTCAATGAAAAGCATTATCCATCACCTCCCCGACCAACACTTAAAACCCTGACTGTATCTGCATGTGGAATAACAAGTCCATTTACATCAGGCAGGAAGGATCTCTTGTTTCTTTTCTGGTAGATAGCAGTAGCAGCAGCAGCAGCAGCACATCATCATGATCTGTGTTTCCCATCTCAAGCAATATAGAGAGGGGAGGGGGGGTAAAGAAAAGGGGAAATACAGTACAGTAGTATTCAATATGCAGACTCGAATACATAGATATACATAGATACATGGAGCTTGCAACCGCCCTAGTCACTACCGAACTGCCCACCTACCTGCCTACCTACCCACAAGCCAATAAATATCCCCCCCTCTTCCCGCCCCGCTGCCGTAATCAAGAACTTCAGAAGCCACCAGAAAAAAAATCAACGCCATTCCCGCCCCCTTGGCCTCCCGTACCACGATCTGTACGGAAGAAAGCAAGTGGTTGGTTGCTTGCTTGCTCAATGACGGCCGGTTGATGCATGTCCATATGCGTACATGTCGATTGATAGATAGAATAGAAGTTGAGTGGCGGTTCGGAGTCGAGTCCAGCCTCCCCCCCCCTCTCAATGCAGGATACATTGTTCCTTCGATGATGCTTCATGCTATACGCCGTTCCGTGCCGTAAATATGTCATATTGCTGGTGGAGTTTGAGGTGGAGTTGTGATGAAAAAGTCTATAAGCACCAGTGTGTGTTGCTGCTCGTTCCTTTTCCATGTCGTCAGGAGAGAATTTGCTGCGAAATAGAGCCGGACATCCGCTGCTTGGAAGCTGTGATCTTTCGTGATCATGTATATTGCTGGGGTGCCGGGTGCATAAATGCTGTATAGTTGGTGTCGCGGCACCAGTGTCTTTTGTGGTTAGGGATCGGCGTGTACTGCTGTCGGTATACGCGATCCACCCAAAGACCGGCCTCGAGCCGAGCTGATGGAGATATACTCATCACATAACAACGCATCCACCGCTCCTGGCTCTCCTCCTTCCACCACCCCGCCCCCGCCCTCCAACCNCTCCCCACCAGTCTCACCACCACCATCTTCATCATCCCTAACCCGGTTCTCCGCCTCTCTCGCTCTCCTCCTCCTTCTTCTCCCACCCCAACCAGTGCCATGCCCACCACACTAGCACCCACTTCCTCACTCGCCAACATCCACTCTGCCCACTTCCCTTCCAACCGCGCCGCGGCACTCCATCGTGAGGTCATGCACCGCTTATAATGCTCTTCGACCGTCTGCTGCCAGCCGTAGAAGGCTTTCAGGTGGATGATCTCTTTCGGGTACATAAGCACAGGGACGGCGGTTGTAGATGTGATCGCTGGACTTGCGGACACCTCTCCCGTCTTTTCGTTCACACTAGCCCTACTCAAGGTTTTGTGCTGGAATAAAGAGCGATGTTGTAAGACCCGGGTATTTTGGGACATTATCTCTCGAACCCCGGCCCATGTAACATTTTGACAGTCGAAGGCGATCAGACTCAGGCCGTTTTTCGGTCGGTTTTTGGCGTTGGTGGTGCTGCCTCTTTTACGGACCTGCTCTGCAGCTTCTATGAGCACGAGATCGGAGATTCTGGTGTTATCCAGGCAGAGAGAACTAAGGTTCTGGCACGACTTAAGGATGGGTAAGACGCCGACGTCGCCGAGATGTTCACAGTAGGAGATGGAAAGATGTTCAAGTGACGACGCTCCGGGAGCGGCTGCAAAGGCTGTCAGGAGCGCGTTGGTTAGCTGGTCCACCTCTTCGACTTCGAGGTGGGTGAGGCGTGGAGTGTTGGAGAGAATGTCGATGAGGCCATCGTCGGTGAGTGCGTGGTTCTGACACAAGCGGAAGCCTTCCAGATATGGCAAGTTGTATGCCATGCTTTTCACGCCTTTATCGGTCAAGGAACGGCACTTGGAAATGTCTAGGTGACGTAGTCGACGCGGAGGTACAATGGTGCGTTCAGTCAATGGGTCGATTTCGGGCTCGATGCCATTCGTGAGGATAGAAAGTGCGTCGTCTGTTAAAGTATCACAATGTTGAATAATCAACCGCTCAAGACCATTCCGCTGATACAGTTCCAGCATGAACTCTTTGTCATCCAGGCCCTTGATTTCGCTTGCTCTTAGGTCTGTCAATCTCGGACACGATTGCACCACCTTTTTCACCCCCTTAGTATCAACTTGGCTGCACCAATCAATGTTCAGGAATTCCAACAGTGGACAATGCGAAGCTATTATCTTCATGGTGGCGTTATTGATATTCTGCATAGATGGCATGTTTATATGGAGAAGCCTGGGATTGCGCAGGAGGAAAAAGTGTATGCTGCTTCTCTCAATCTTGCAACCTTCAATGGAGAAGTTTTCTAGGTTCCTACACTCTTGATTCGTCATTCGGCTTCCGAGACTGAGCCACTGGTCCCGAAGCTGGACGCAACCTCGCAGGTTGAGGTTCTTAACAAAACCGCCAGCCCTCAACATTATCTTGATCAGAGCCTCTGAGGTGATCTGCTGATAGTATGACTGGCAATCAAGCTCAATCCAGAGCTGTCCATCGAAACACATCTCATGCCATAATTTGGAAACCGATGATAGGCGGATGATCTGTTTTGGAGATAGAAATTGTAGGATATGCACCCGTATTTCATGCGGCAGATCAGCCCAGAAGTTGAAGTTCTCTCGGCGAGGAAATGGTTTTGCAGCCGACTTTGTTACTCTAGCCCCGAAGTCCTCACATGATTGTGCCTCAGATGGGACGGGAACAGATCCGGATACTAAAATCTCATTTCCAGCTGCGTCTCTTTCCACGATCCTTATTTTTGGATGGGGTCCGAAATAACAGTTGGCTCCTGTGAGCGAACCCGGAGAAGTCGGGGCGGTGGAGAATCCAGCAGAAAGCTGGGAGGTGTAGGAGCTGGGTGGAGAAAAGATGGTCGACGAAAAGGGTGAGCTGAGTGACATGCAGGATATGGACCCCATACCACCAGGTCTGTATTCACTGGTAGCTCTTGATCTGCCAATTTTGGCTAGTGAGGGGGACGATGATATTCGCTGCAGTCCTTGCACAATTCTTTGCCGTCTTCTTGATTTGATGGGCTGGTCGTAGGGAAGCTCGGACATTGCAGGACTTGTGGGAGTCAAGGGCCCAGGTGAGGCTGTCTGATGAGAATCCATTGTTCGAGCCGTAGCAATTGAGAAGAGAGAATTTGGGGACGAGATGGGATGATGGATTTGGGAGAGAAAGTGTGCGTACAGAGCTGCACCTCAGCTTCCCTTAGGTGGTACGAGCCTCAGGCCTGGTTGTACGAATACGATCGGCGACAGTGAGCAGTGAATTCGCGGCGGTGAGTCGACGAAAGGGGTATAACGGACTGATTTGCGCCTAATAGAGGCATTGATCACTGTAACCTGCCGGTCATGGAAGCAACGGTCATTCTCTTCTTAAGCACAGTCCGAGGCAGGAGTAGAGGGCGAGGCTGCGAAGGTTGCTCCTATCTTAGCGCTATCGTACAGCCCCGCGCGAAAGTATCGGACCAAAACGCGTTATTTTTGAACACGCGTTTTTTTACACCCTTTTTCAAACAACTCCTATGGCTCAACGCAAGGCTCTGGCGCCTCTTGAAATTAACAGGAGCTATGGCAAGGAGTTATCTCCATACCAACGAGGTCAAATTTCTGCGTACAAAGCTATGGGGTTGACAAATCAAAAGATTAGTCAAAATTTGCAATGCGGCAAATCCACC